TTTGTTTATTTTTGAGAGAGCGCATACACAATGCGGGGAGGTGCAGAAAGAGAGACACAATGTGCAGCAGGCTCCAGGCTTAGAGCTGTGGGCTCAAAGCCCAACCCAGGGCTCGAACCCAAGAACTGTGAGATCATGACCTGAGCCAAAGTCGGACGCGCGACCAACTGAGCCACTCAGGCGCCCCTCTTCCAGCATATTTTTTTAAAAATGGGAGAGAGAGGTGGGAAAAATCAGTACCATATGATGTCAATTCTCTCCAAATTAATGTATTTTCAATAAATTCAACCTCTATATCGCCTCTGATCAAAATCTCTACAGAGATTTTCAGGAGACTCAAAAGTCTGATCCTAAAATTCATATGGAATAGCAAAGGATCAGTAACAGCAGAGAGTGTTTTGTAAGTAAAACAAGGTGGGAAATTTTCCTTATCTGACATTAAGACTCACTGTTAAAGTCATAGTGATTAAGATAGCCTGATACTAGACAATAAACAAATAGACCAATAGAACAGAATACAGAGATGTGTAGGACTGAAATGGCATTGTAAATCAGTGAGAAAAAATGGACCCAATGAATGGTACTGGGACAAATGACTAATCACATGAGGAAAAATTTTCCTGTCACATTATACATCCAAAATAAATGTGAAAAGCAAAACTTTAAAATGTTAAAGAAAAAAATATCTTATAACCTGATGTAGGAAAAGATTTCTCAAGCATGACACAAAAAGCAAAAATCATGAAGAAAATAATTATATTTCTATATATACATACAGAAATATAATATATATTTTAGTATGTCAAAAGACACCATAACAAGACTAGCCAAAAACTGAACAAACGCATTTGCAATCAGGAAACAAAAGCAAAAACAGACAAGCAGGACTGTCTCAAATTAAAAAGCTTCTGCACAGCAAAGGAAACAAGAAGTGAAAACATGACCTACAGAATGGAAGAAAATATTTGTAAACCATGTACCTGATAAACAGTGAATTTACAAAATATATAAGAAACTCCTACAACTCAACAGCAGACACTACCAACCCAATTACAAAATGGGCTAAAAACTTGAATAAATAATTCTCCAAAGATAATCTACAAATGGCCAACAGGTATAATGCTCCAGGTTACTAATCATCAGGGAAATGCAAATCAAAACCACAATGAGCTAT